AGTCCCGCCACTGACTGAGCTGAGTCCATTGTCAGGGAGCACATAAGTACTAGCTAGCCGCACCTCAGCAGCACCTTGGACTTCTATGCCGGGGAGCTGGAGACTGTGTTTCTCTTCGACAATAAACCTGGCCGACGTGCCTTCGTACCTTACTAGAGTCTGTGGTTATTGGGGGTTCTCTCGGGGTCTGCTGTGTCAGCTATCTGTGCAGAGCTGGGACAGCACACAGGGAACACACGCACGCAGCCGATTGATATCAACATTGAACAGAGCAGAGCACCACACCAGTAGCGTCTGACAACACACCCTACTCCACCAGGTCCCAGCCCAGGACCCTAACAGTGATGGTGTGTTCCGCCCCACTGGATCAGCGGGGATCCGCCCAAAACACACCGATCGGGGTTCAGGCAACAACACAACAAAATTACAGTCTAGTGTCCCAAGGCACCTTCCTACTCATCCCTTGTGGTGTACCTGTGGCTTGGGGTCATCTTCCATCTCCATGGGGTACTCTGCTATTGGCAGTCCTGGGAGCTCTTCGGTGCCCTGGTCACCTGGTGGCTCTGGCAGCTCAGGTAGGTCCTCAACACAGCAAGGGTCCTCCTGAGGCTCCAACCCCAGTAGTGGGCAGGAGGTGTTTGTCTCCTCCCGCGGCTCCAGCCCAACTGAGCTGCAGAACCCGTCTTTTATACTTCCTGTCACACCCCTTTGCTTCTGATGGGAGGTGGGGCTGGGCTGGCTCCGCCCACCAGGGGAGTGTAGTGCTCCCTTGGGTTCAGAGGGAGGCCACTCTGCCTCAATATACTCCTGAACAAACTTTGTTGTTTTTTTTTAACTCTGACTGAGCCTGTTGTCATACCTTGCCTGCATCCCAACTCCTACTTTCTCTCACATTCAGAAACTGTTTGCTTCTATGTCTCAGGGGTGTAAATATTTTCAGTGTGTTAAAAACACAATGGTCAGTTCTTGGTTAAGCATCTCAAGCTCCCCAACAAATTCACTGAGTACCATGTTGCTTATGCAAAAGTACACTCAGTACTCAGGACTATTTAGATATTTCTAAGTTTCATTAACCAAAATAAACTAGAGGTAAATAAGTTAGAAAAGTAAAATACTGATGAATATGACAGCATTACTATTTATTGAATTAATTTCAACACAAAGAGTTCAACATGGGCAAACGGATAACAACTCAAACAATAAACCAAAGTTTGATCACAAGTGGTAAATGTATCTAATTCCATTCCATATTATTCTGGGAGGGTGTCTGCATACTAATGTGGTTCCTTTATAATATGAGCCATTATTATATTCCAAGGCAGTTGTATTCCAATCAACAAATAGAAGGACCATTTGTAACAGTTCAACCAGAAGTAATTCTGAAGTCAGAAATTTAGAATTTAAATACTCATAATCCCACAACCACACAACGATTAGTCATAGCCAAATTGCTCTGACATATGCAAATATATTAATGTAACAATAACCCCAAATATGCGGAATGATTCCAAGCTGCTTCTAGTGTCTCTTGAAGCTCACCAGAAAGTATATTCACAATTACTTTGTAACAATCAACTACAGCCACCAGACCTGTCCATGTTTTTCTTGTAGAAAGCTAAAGTAACGAAGGGTCCAAGGCAAACGATAGTTTACGCAATCTCGGCCTAAACCGCGTATGCAAAAAACTGACTAAGAACTGGTTATCTGCAATTCCAATCTTGCCTATAAACTTCATAGAAATTAGTGTTGTAATAAAAGCCCATAAAGCAAATTATCATGACAGTATCCACGTAAGGTCACTGCTAAGCTATGTGCCTCAGTATGTTACTGTGTCAAATGTTAACCTTGTAATAAGGTTAGTACCATTTCAAAAACTAGTGGCAAAGATTATCGCTCCCCTTTGGAAGAGCCTGGGATATTTCCCAAATTTACAGCTGGGGAAGTCAGGTACAGGCAGGTAAAGTGACCTGTCTGAAGGTGTTCAAGAGAGCTGATGGCAGAGCTATGATTAGAACTTGGGAGTCCCTGTCTCCCAGCCCCATACTTTGTTCAATCTGAGCCCTGAAATTGGTAGGGCTCCTCATGACGTCTATGCCATGGACACACCTTCACCTCCAATGTGAGCAAGGGTTTGGTTTGCTATAGGGTGGCATTAGGTGCACTGGTGTAGGCAGAGCTCAGAGTGACTGAATGAAAGTGATTTATAAAGCAGACGCTATTGGGAACTGGAACGCTCCAACTCTCCTAGGCTGTGTGAAGAAGGGCAGAAAGGCACTGAAGCTTGTAGCCCTGCTGTGAAAGGACCTAGGCTGAGCACAGACCCTGACAGAATACATTAAATAATATCAGCTGTGCATGACCTGGGGGGGAGGGTCTCAGGAAGAAGAGTAACACAGAAGCAGGATGAGCCGCAAAGACAGAGGACTTTTTGAACCAAGCAACCCAGCTGGTGAGCAAACTGACTGCTCTATTTAGAGCAAAACTCATTTTGACCTATGGCAAAGTCTTCTACTGAAGGACAGCTTAGGGTCTGGGTACCAGACAATGCAGAACCGTAGCACAAATTACCAACAAGGTGCAGGGCACCCTCCACATTCCTGCTGATGTCAAGAAAAAGAGAAGGAGCTCAGCACCTTGCAGGATTGAGCCCAAGAAGTAAGCAGCCTTTCAAATGGCACCATTAATTGTCAGCTCAACATACAAGGTTCTGGCCTCACAAACGGCTTCTAAATAAATTAATCCCTGACTTCCAGTGCTCCTTTGAGCTCAGTGAATGTAAAAAGACACAGTCATTCTGAAGATATCTTACCCAGTGATGTAAGTAACACCTCTGATCACTGTAACAGACAGATCAGAGACAAATCAAAGTCTCTCTCTTTTTTCAGCCTATTTACTCTACATTTGGCAGCATTTCACGTATGGTCAGCTTTGCGGATACCTCTGCTCCAGTGTTTCTCAAACTGGGGCCGCCGCTTGTGTAGGGTAAGCCCCTGGTGGGCCGGGCTGGTTTGTTTATCTGCCCCGTCCGCAGGTCCGGCCGATCGCGGC